AGCAGGTGAGCGCTACAGCAGGTGAGCGCTACAGCAGGTGAGCGCTACAGCAGGTGAGCGCTAGCTACAGCAGGTGAGCACTACAGCAGGTGAGCGCTACAGCAGGTGAGCGCTACAGCAGGTGAGCGCTACAGCAGGTGAGCGCTACAGCAGGTGAGCGCTACAGCAGGTGAGCGCTACAGCAGGTGAGCGCTACAGCAGGTGAGCGCCTGGCTGTCGCCGCTACAACAGGTGATGTCTCATGTTCGTTACTACAGTGAACCTACGGGTGATTATTGCACTGTAGCTGTAACAATCACGGCCCTTATAACAACGGGCAACCGTGTGTTAAATATAAATCACCCTTGACAACATTTATAAAATCAAGATACAAGGCTTTCAAGATTAACTAATCCCACCAAGGGGTAATTTAGCCTTGATAGTACTCCTCAAGCTTGAGAGGAGAAAAGGAGCTTGAAAAAGGTTGATGAAGCTTTAATAAGTAGGTAGGAGCTTCTTGTAGAGCTTGTCCTTGAAAAATCACAAGTCTAGTTGTGTAGGGGAGCTTATTAGGAGAACCCAAAAGACTTAGAGTGAAAATCCCATTTCCAAGTTAGATTGTTGGAGTTAGGAAGTGGGAATGAGCTTGAGAGCTCCAACCCCTTCCATCATACCCCTTGGGGCTTTTTCCCAACCATGGTTTCCATGGTTGGGGAGCTAATAGGCTTGGAGCCTAGGTGACAATTTAGTTTGGTTGGGAAAAACCCAACTTAGCACAATTGTATGGCTGTTTTAAGTTTGTGTGGATTGTAACAACAACTGGCACAACTTGATTGGTTGGAAATCCAACCTTTCCAATCTTCACTTTGATGGGTTGGAAGTTTCCAAGCCTCAAGGTTGAGGGTTGGGAAAACCAAACCAATGTTCTTCTCCAACTCAACCTTCCCGATTGCCTTCACGTCATTTCTCATCGAGGAAGTCTCTCGATGTTGACTTAGGAAGTTAGCGGTAGATGAGGCAGAGTAGGTTATGCGTTACACTCCTCCCCCCCTAGGTGGCAACGTCCCCGTTGCCTCAGGGTGCTTCTGAGGACGAGCGCTTCGAGTACGCCGTGTCACATTACGACCAAGGTCAACGCCCTCCACTGGTTGTGCGGCAGCTCGTCGAGCCAGGTCTGTCATGTATGACTGAACTGCAGTTTCAGTCAGATGCTCTTCTGGCTCACATGAGTTGTGTTCAGGCCCATAGCCTTTCCACTTGATGAGGAACTCTCGTACTGTCTTGCGGCCGCATTGTCGATCACGATGCATTAGCACTCGTTCGACTTCATAAAACAGTTCCTCCCCCAGGACGATCGTTGGTGGCGGTAAGTACTTGCCCTTTGCAACGTACTTGTTCAACAGAGACACATGGAAGACGTTGTGAATCTGTAAAGTGTCAGGTAGCTTAAGCTTGTAAGCTACCACACCAACACGCTTGATCACCTCGAAAGGCCCAATCCATGGAGGGAACAGCTTTCGTGCTCCAGGGATTTTGAAACGAATGTTCTTCGTGCTTAACAAAACTTTGTCTCCAACCTCAAACGAGACTTCCCGGCGTTTCATGTCAGCGTAAGACTTTTGTCGCTGCTGAGAGAGTTGTAGCCAATGGTGAGCAGACTTAAGCGCTTCTTGCTGCTTGCCAACAAAGTCTTTAGCGGCTGGAATTTTCAATCCGCCGATCCCATGCGTAGCAGGCGTTGTGGGATGCCGACCATAGTTCAGAATGAAAGGTTTCTCACGTGTACCTTCATGAACTGAATTGTTCACTGCGAATTCAACGACAGGCAACAACTCGTCCCAATCATCCTGAGTTGGGCCAATGAATGAACGAAGCATCTGCTCAAGTGTCCGGTTTGTTCGTTCCGTCTGCCCATCGGTTTGTGGGTGGAACGCCGATGACAGCTTAAGCTTCGTTTCTAGTGTCCGTGTGACTTTTTGCCAGAACCGGCTTGTGAAGCGCGGATCCCGGTCGGACACCAATACACGTGGTAACCCGTGTAAGCGGAAAACGTGCGCCACAAACAATTTGGCCATATCTTCCGCGGATACGTCAGTTGTAGTAGCCACGAAATGCACCATTTTTGTCAGACGATCCACAAACACTAGGATCGCTGTATGGCCATCACGAGTCTTAGGAAGGTCCGTGATAAAATCCAAGGATACGCTCTCCCAAGGTTGATTCGGGATCTCGAGTGGTTGAAGCAAACCACCAGGCTTCTTTGTGTCCGTTTTATTTCGTGCGCATGCGTCGCAGTGCGCCACGAATTGCTGGACCTCAGTGCCCAATCCCGGCCACCAGTATACATCACTCAAGGCCCACCTGGTCTTTTTGACCCCTAGGTGCCCTCCGTACTTAGTGGCATGCACTTCTTCCAGAATATCGTTCTGCAGGCAACCTACGTGAGGTACAACGATCTCCTTACGCCACCAGAGCTCATGCTCCCACTTGAGTTCCTTCGTGTTTCGTGGGTCCTGAAACCAGGAGTCAATTTGATACCCTGTGCGGATGCGTTTCAGGAAACCACTGAAGGTAATCTCACTCACTCGAGCCGTTGCTAGGACACTGAAGCAAGCAGAAAATACTGCCGCATTCTCTGTGTCGTCTAGACGTGTTGCTGCCCCTATCGGCTGTCTGCTGAGGGGGTCAGCCAGGTTCGTCGAACCTGCTCGATATCGATTATCGAAGGTGAACCCACTAAGGAGTTCCGCCCATCGGGCTTGACGTCGAGTAAGCGTGGCTTGGGTGGAGAAGTAGGTGTTTGGACAGTGATCAGTCGTAACCACAAAGTCCACACCCTCTAGATAACATCGCCATGTTCGTAGCGCATGAACGACCGCCAACAGTTCTTGTTCGGACGTCGTATAGCGCTGCTCTGCCGGGGAGAGCTTTCGACTCTCAAATGCCACTGGTCTCCCTTCTTGCAAGAGGACCGCCCCAATCCCAATCAATGAAGCGTCAGTAACAACCTCATAGGGCTGTGTCGGATCTGGTAAAACCAGAACCGGAGCATTGGTCAGCAATCGCTTGACCTCGTCGAATGCCTGTTGGCATTGTTGTGTCCATTGCCAAGCACTACTCTTGCGAGTGAGGGCCGTCAATGGGGCAACAACGGTAGAATAATTCTGCAAGAATCGACGAAAATAGTTTGCCAGTCCCAAAAACGACCTGATTTGACCCACATCTTGTGGTACCGGCCAGTTCTGGACTGCGACAACTTTCTTTGGGTCTGCTTTGAGACCATCATTTCCTACGAGATGGCCAAGATATTCCAACTCGCGTTTGTAGAAATGACACTTCCACAGACGAGCATAAAACTTATGCTCTCGAAGTTTCCCTAACACCCACTTAAGGTGTCGCGTGTGCTCCTCTTCCGTCCTGGAGTAAACCAAGATGTCATCCAGATAGACTAAAACGAACTGTCCAATCGCCTAGCGAAAGACATCATTCATAGCTCTCTGAAAAGATGCAGGAGCATTGGTCAAGCCAAAGCTCAGCACTCGCCACTGAAAATGACCAAACGGCGATCGGAAAGCCGTCTTGGGTACATCTTCTTCGGTGATGCTCAATTGGTGATACCCCTGCGCGAGGTCCAATGCGCTGAACCACTGGGCACCCTGGAGTTTGTCGAACAGGTCCTCTATTCTCGGTAGGGGAAACCTGTTCTTCACCGTTATCTTGTTCAAAGCACGGTAGTCTACGCACATGCGTAACCCTCCGCCCTTTTTGTTCACGAACAAGATCGGCGCTCCGTTAGGTGATGCGCTTGGTTCAATCTATCCCTTTTTGAGATACTCCTCAATTTGCTGTTTAGCCTCCTCGTACTCAGCTGGACTGAGGCGATACATAGGTCTAAAAGGTGGGAGTTTTCCAGGCTCCACTGGAATGGTGTGACCGACAGCACGGTCCGGAGGAAGGCCATCTGGGATGGGCTCAAAAACCTCTGCAAACTCGTCCGCCAGTGGTTTCATCTGAGGCGGGAAATCCTCGACCCCAGGCATCTCGTAGTTGAGCATTCTCAAGCTGTACCACAAAGAAGGTATCGGCTTGTCGAACATGCTGTGCGAACTCGTTTGCGAGCGCAAAACTCACATCGGAACGCTTCGACGTTTGCTGTTCGTTCGTGATCAAGTCCTTAGGCACTTGCCATTGGACTGTGTCACCATTCTTTACGAATGAGACGGTATTGTCCTGGAAATCGAGCCTGACTTCATTCGCTCGAAGCCAATCCATTCCAAGGACAAGGTCGACACCTGCGAGAAGGGGTAAAACATACGCGCGGATCTTTTCGTGATAACCCTCGATCTCCATGTTGATCCGTGTCTGCCCTTTGCTTGGGATGATGCTATCGTCACCAAGACGAATGGGGCAAGACAGTCCTTCAACTAGGATCGTGCGTGCTGTGACCCACTTTTCGTCAAAGAGGGAAACAGTTGCACCCGTGTCAACAAGGATTTTTGCATTATCCCCGTTCACGCTACCCGCAAGCAACAAATTTTGTTGATGCTTTGGGCGAATAGGACATGCCACAATACTCGTCAAATATTTGAAGTACACCTTGACGTTGTGACGAGCGCGTCCATGTGACTGAGATTTGGTCCACCACACATGGTGTCCTTTGTCCCACGCCGCTAGGACCGGCCATCCACGAAGCACATGGAACAATTCGCCTTTCACTGTGCGAGTCACCAACGCAACCGAAGTCAGGGGGTGCTCTTGAGTGCAACGACTCACAATCTCAATGACAGAACGCAGAATGTCCAAGCCACAGAAAATAATTGAAAATTTATCTTGCATTGCTTCCATGGAAATTTTCTCAAGTGGGTACGATCGAGGATAAAAAACAGAGTTTTTATTAAAAGAAGAGGCAAACAAACAAGAGATTTTGCAATCAGCAAGCTTCTCTAGCTTTAATATATCATCATCACATAGCACATATGCTTCATCCACTCGATCTACTCCTCCAAATTGGTACCCACACCCTAGTTGGGCTTCTGAAAATCCTTCTTTCCAGAAGGTCCAGCTCCGCCTGGCTTAGGCTTCCCAGAATACTTGATAACATTCTTATCACGGAAGTGCTTTTGGATGTGCCCCATCCTTCCACAGCCTCTGCACTGCTTGTCGGAGAAGTCCGGCTTGTTAGGTCCATGAACCCCCCTCCGTTAGGCCTCTTGGCCTGTGGGCCAGGCTGGTGATCACGCTGCTGGAAAGACCTTTTGTTCCAACCGCTTCCACCTTTCGCATTCTGGGGCCGGTTCCCATGACCACCAGAGCCCTCAGCACAGGGCTGCAGGCCTGTCTTTTCGGGGCAAAAAATGTACGTGCGAATGATGTTGTCGGTTTTGATCACCTGCTCCTTCATCTCCTTGTAAGTCGTCCAATTGGTCATGCCGCCGGTCATGTGTGCCTCCTGCAGGTTGACAGGGAGGCCCTTCATGAAGATGTGCATCATCTCCTCCTCAGCCAAGGGCTTTTGGAGCAAGCGTGCTGCGGCCTCAAACTCGACCGCATATTCCTGCACCGAACGGTCATGACACTTGATACGCTCAAGGCGTCCGCGCAGTTCTTGGTCGGACTTTTTGACCATGAATGCCTCTTTCAGCGCGGTGCAGAACTCCGGCCATTCAAACGGTCCCTGTGCCTGCTTCTTAGCACCATACACGGCCCTGCGGGCCACCTCGTCCAACGCACGAGTAGCTGCAGTGACGCGAGCCTCGGGGCGCACATTTGCAAAGATCATGGTGGAATCCACCTGGTCGAGCCAAGGCTGCATCTCCGTCTTGTTATGGTTAAATTCAGGCAGAGGCGCCGAGAGACACCCTAAGGGCGAGGTCTCAGTTGGAGGTGGCTGATGCATAGCCGTCGCAGCACCTACCGCCGGGGGTGCGGGCGGAGCGGGTGCCGGCTGAGCAGCAGGAGCGGACCTAAGCCCAGGAGGAGGTTCGTAAATACCCTCCCTCCTAAGATGTGTCAACTGCTCATTGAACTTGTTGAACGATGCTTGCAGATTCTTACAAGTCTTCTGAAGCCACTCAATTTGGCGTTTTTTAGTGCCCAGGCTGCGACGGAAGTCTGTAACCTCCTTCATGGTAATGCTCAGTCTAGCCTCGAGGTTCTGAGTGTGCTTCTTGAGTCCATCAATGGACGTCTGCTGCTGCAGGATGGTGATATTCTGAGTTGCCACCTTAGCCTGGAGTTGGACAATCTCCTCGGAGATAGGATAAGTCGTGCCTTCACTCTCAGTGAAGTCATTTTTATCACCAGTGGCCTCCTTTCCTACCGTTGTTATCCTCTTCCCCAAGGTTGTCAGCTCCACCATGGTTCTCAACTTCACCATGGTGCTCAGCTTCATCATGGTTCTCAGCTTCACCATGGTTATGCTCATCTCCAAGGTCCAGGTCCAAGTCCTCAATATCATCTAACTCAATGTCAGCCATTGCCTCATCTTGATTGAGGTCAATCTCAGCAGCATTGTTCACCACCTCATTAGGTGCAGCAGGGCCCTTCCTCCCTTGCCATATCCTTCTCTTGGCCAGATGCCATAAAGATTAAAGGAGCTTGTAAGATCTGGGTTGATTCTGTTAAAGTCTTTTTACCACCTCAATGGTAAAGCAAGAAATTCTTATAAAAAAAATTTCTTCTACAAAATAATCCAAGTTACCCAAGGTAACAGATTTGTTGTCAAGCACTCCCAATCTCCTAAATGAAAGGGTAGGGTCTATCCAAATCTCAATGAAGAGAAGTTGTATAACCCTCAACAAATCCTCCAGATCCAAGTTTATACTCCACTACTCAACAGTAGAGAGTCTTCCACCAAAAGGTGGGCAAGAGAGATAAATCTCTCTTTTTAGCTTGAAATTGCAGTTGTAGATCTTGTAGATCTTGAACTCTTCAAGCTTCCAGATCTTGAGTGTTCTCTTAAATAGAAACCACAACTCCAAGATCTTAAAAAAAAAAAAAAATTCTCTAGGGGCAAAATCCCCACTAGGCTTAGGATAACCCTAGCTCTAGATACCAATGTAACAATCACGGCCCTTATAACAACGGGCAACCGTGTGTTAAATATAAATCACCATTGACAACATTTATAAAATCAAGATACAAGGCTTTCAAGATTAACTAATCCCACGAAGGGGTAATTTAGCCTTGATAGTACTCCTCAAGCTTGAGATGAGAAAGGGAGCTTGAAGAAGATTGATGAAGCTTTAATAAGTAGGTAGGAGCTTCTTGTAGAGCTTGTCCTTGAAAAATCACAAGTCTAGTTGTGTAGGGGAGCTTATTAGGAGAACCCAAAAGACTTAGAGTGAAAATCCCATTTCCAAGTTAGATTGTTGGAGTTGGGAAGTGGGAATGAGCTCGAGAGCTCCAACCCCTTCCATCATACCCCTTGAGGCTTTTCCCAACCATGGTTTCCATGGTTGGGGAGCTAATAGGCTTGGAGCTTAGGTGGCAATTTAGTTTAGTTTGGTTGGGAAAAACCCAACTTAGCACAATTGTATGGCTGTTTTAAGTTTGTGTGGATTGTAACAACAACTGACACAACTTGATTGGTTGGAAATCCAACCTTTCCAATCTTCACTTTGATGGGTTGGAAGTTTCCAATCTTCACTTTGATGGGTTGGAAGTTTCCAAGCCTCAAGGTTGAGGGTTGGGAAAACCAAACCAATGTTCTTCTCCAACTCAACCTTCCCGATTGCCTTCACGTCATTTCTCATCGAGGAAGTCTCTCGATGTTGACTTAGGAAGTTAGCGGTAGATGAGGCAGAGTAGGTTATGCGTTACACTCCTCCCCCCCTAGGTGGCAACGTCCCCGTTGCCTCAGGGTGCTTCTGAGGACGAGCGCTTCGAGTACGCCGTGTCACATTACGACCAAGGTCAACGCCCTCCACTGGTTGTGCGGCAGCTCGTCGAGCCAGGTCTGTCATGTATGACTGAACTGCAGTTTCAGTCAGATGCTCTTCTGGCTCACATGAGTTGTGTTCAGGCCCATAGCCTTTCCACTTGATGAGGAACTCTCGTACTGTCTTGCGGCCGCGTTGTCGATCACGATGCATTAGCACTCGTTCGACTTCATAAAACAGTTCCTCCCCCAGGACGATCGTTGGTGGCGGTAAGTACTTGCCCTTTGCAACGTGATATTCTCTCTAGCCTAAGCATGTTTTTCGGCATAGCTTCACGCACCTACCCTCGCCATGGCCGCTCAAAATGCTACTGGGCCGAACCTTAAGTGTCTCCACCCTCTCCGCCCCTTTACCTACACCTCCCAGCGTGTACTAACAACCCCCCTTTCCCCCGTCCGCCCCCCTTCCCCCCCTCCCCCCCTTCCCCCCCTTCCCCCCTCCCCCCTCCCATTTTCTGCACTGGGTCTCCCACACTCGCTGCTTGGCCGTCCCTCAAGAGATCTCCCCCACTCCGCCTTTGCGTTGACCTTCGCCTCGCTCTTCCCCATCCCCTTCCCATCCCCGTCCCCAACCCCCCCCCCTCTCCTAGTTTCTGAGCTGGGTCTCCCAGACGCTCCTGGGCCATCCCTCCAAGCGCTTCACGCACTCTTCCTCCGCCTTTGCATGAACTCCCAGTGTGTATGTACCAACAAACCCCCCATACCCACCCACTCCCCCTTCCTCCCCCCCCCCCCCCCTCGCTTGCTGAACTGGGTCTTGCACACACTACTGGGCTGCCCTTTAAGGGGCTCCACACACTCGCCCTGGCATGAGCTCTCAGTGCGCACACAAAGAACCCAACCTTCCCCTCCTTCCCTCCCTCCTTCCCCCCTCTCCCCAGCTTCTCAACTGGGTGTCTCACACGCTGCTGGGCCGCCCCTCCAGGGTCTCCACGCACTCTGCCTTCGCCTTTGCTTGTTCTTCTCTCAGCGTGTACCAGCAAAACCCCCCACACCCCCTCCACTCCCCCTCCCCCCAGCTTCTGAACTGGGTGTCCCACACGCTGCTGGGGCGCCCCTCAAGGGGCTCTACGCACTCTGCCTTCGCCATCTCCCGCATGGCCTCCCAGACCGCCCCAGGCCTCGCCCCCTCTGACTCCCGAGCCAGCGCCGTAGGCTCGGGAGCAGGGGGCAGGCCCACGTTTGCCCGGTCCGACACGTTTTTCCTGCGGGAGATGCGGACGTCTGAGCTGCTGGGGAGGGCCGTGGTGGCGCCTGATAATGGGTGAGTGATGAGGAGTGATGAGGGTTGGTGAGCGGTGAGGATGGGTGAGTGCCGACGACATTGGGTGTGTGAACGGAGATGCGGCCGCAGTACCTTGCTATCCTCGGAGATGGGTGCCTTCCTATCGTCCCTCTTCCTGCGGGCGATGCGGACAACAGAGCTGCTTGGGGGGGGCGTGGTGGCGTTTGATAACGGGTGAGTGATGAGGGGTGATGATGGGTGAGTGAGGGGTGATGATGGGTGAGTGAGGGGTGATGAGGGTGAGTGAGGGGTGATGATGTGAGGGTGATGATGGGTGAGTGAGGGGTGATGGGTGCTGCGTCTCACCCTTCACAGCTCGCCCCATCTCACCCTTCACAGCTCGCCCCATCTCACCCTTCACAGCTCGCCCCATCTCACCCTTCACAGCTCGCCCCATCTCACCCTTCACAGCTCGCCCCATCTCACCCTTCACAGCTCGCCCCATCTCACCCGTCTCTCGCATCTTGAGCCGTTTCAATCCCTCAATCCGTTCCTCCCTCTCGTTCTCTCTCCCCCCTCCTTACGCTCAAATTCTCCTCCATATTTCTGCCCTTCTCTTTCTCTCCCCCCCTCCCCCCTCCCTCCTCTCAGCTACCTGCTGCTGTGGCAGCAGCTCATCCTAGCTCTCTCCTTCTACTCCGCGTTCATCACGCCGCTCGAATTCTCCCAACTTTGAGGTGTTTCAATGCCTCAATCCGTTCTTCCCTCTCGTTCTCTTCCCCCCTTCCCCTCCCCGCACAACTCCCAGCTACCTGTTGTTGTGGCAGCAGCTCATCCTGGCTCTCTCCTTCTACTCCGCGTTCATCACGCCGCTCGAGTTCTCCTTCCTGCCCATGCTGCCGCCCGGCCTCGCCATAGCGGACGGTGTCGTCAGCATCTTCTTCCTGTCCGACCTCATTCTCACATTCTTCGTGGCATACAAAGACCAGAAGACGCAGAGATACGTCTGTGACCACTGGAGCATTGCCACTAGGTGAGGTGCGGTTGAGTGCGGTGAGGTGTGGTGAGGTGAGGTGACGTCTCTTCTTCCTTGCTGACCTGCTGCTCACCTTCTTCGTTGCCTTCAAGGACCGCAAGACCCAGAGCTATATTTGTTAATGTTAGCCCTCAATCTCACATTTGTACTTGTAATTTTTATATCACAGTTTAGTGTAGTTTGCACTTTGTGTTTGGTTGGGTGTACACCCACATCCCAACCAAACCCAAATGTGATCTCCAAGCAATCTCCAACCCACCAATTGGAGATTGCCTTGAGATTACCCCCAATTCCCTAGGATTGCCCCCGATTCTCTCCCCACCCTTACCTTGCCCATTTCCAATGTACTTAAAGAGCCTTGAGCTCATTACTAATGCATGAATTCTAAGCTCAAGTTCTAACAATATTTGCTGGAGAATTGAGACTAGGTAAGGTGTGGTTGAGTGCGGTGATTGGGCGAGCATGCTGTGAGGTTGAGGTGAGGTGAAGTGCGAGCATCTTACGCGCCGGAGGGTGGGGCAGTGCGTGCAGTGCGGTGCAGTGGGTAAATGTTGGATCGAAGAACCTTTTTGAGTGCAGCGAGGTGAGGCGATGTGAACTCTCTCTTCCTCGACAACCTGTTGGTCACCTTTGTAATTCGCCTTCAAGGACAGGTAGATTCACAGCCATGTCTGCAACCACTGGAGCTCTGTCACCAGGTGACGTGCGCTGGAGGGTGGCGAAGTGCAATGCAGTGCGGTGCATAAACATTGGATTAAAGAGACGTTTTGTTTTAGAAACTCAAGTACTGTTGTAGAGATGTGTAACTAGTCAGGGTCATGGTGTGGTGGTGAGGCAATGTGTGGTGAAGTCAGATGGATCATGGTTGTGCTTCATGCCGTATGCACAATTTGGCATCTCCCCTGAATGAAATCACCACCAGCTCTAGTGCACCTGTGTGCCGCCTCGCTTTTGTGTGTCGCCACTCCCTCCCTCCCTGTCCCCATTGTTCTCTCAGGTATTTTTGCTTGTTCTTTGGCTTGCTTTCTTTGCTTCATACCATTAACCAACCACCCCCCTACCCGCCCCCTGCTCAACTCACTCCCCCCCAACACCCCCCCTCGGGCCACCGCATCGCATCGCGTGGCTGGCAGGTACCTGTGCACGTTTTTTATAGTGGACCTGCTCGCACTCTTCCCCTGGGACACCTTCTTCCAGGTACCAGGGGAAACATTTCTTCCGGTGTTGAATTAAGAATGCGAGCCCAGCCCGGGTGGGATAAAAGAATTCCAACCAAGCAACACAAGGTGAATGTCCGAATCCATGGACAGTAGCGTTGCCCCTCTTGGAAACGTCATTGTTATCATGTAACGTCATTGTTATCCTGTAACGTCATTGTTATCATGTAACGTCGTTGCTATCATGTCACGTCATTGTTATCATGTAACGTCATTGTTATCATGTAACGTCATTGTTATCATGTAACGTCATTGTTATCATGTAACGTCATTGTTATGATGTAACGTCATTGTTATCATGTAACGTCGTTGTTATCATGTAACGTTGTTGTTATCATGTAACGTCATTGTTATCCAGTAACGTTATTGTTATCCAGTAACGTCATTGTTATCCAGTACCGTCATTGTTATCCAGGAACGCCATTGTTATGATGTAACGTCATTGTTATCATGTAACGTCATTGTCATCATGTAACGTCACTGTTATCATGTAACGTCATTGTTATGATGTAACGTCATTGTTATGATGTAACGTCATTGTTATCATGTAACGTCGTTGTTATCATGTAACGTTGTTGTTATCATGTAACGTCATTGTTATCATGTAACGTCATTGTTATCATGTAACGTCATTGTTATCCAGTACCGTCATTGTTATCCAGGAACGCCATTGTTATGATGTAACGTCATTGTTATCATGTAACGTCATTGTCATCATGTAACGTCACTGTTATCATGTAACGTCATTGTTATGATGTAACGTCATTGTTATGATGTAACGTCATTGTTATCATGTAACGTCGTTGTTATCATGTAACGTTGTTGTTATCATGTAACGTCATTGTTATCATGTAACGTCATTGTTATCATGTAGCGTCATTGTTATCATGTAACTCGCAGTGACTGCTATCCATTTCTGTTTGAGTCGCTTGAAAGGATATATGTCTGTGTCTCTCTCTGGGTGGAGAAAGACGCACGCGTCCTGCTGCGTCCTGCGTCTGGACACATCGTCCAGACGCAGAGACGCAGGACGCACCCTGTTTTTTTTTCGGGCTGACCGGAAAAAAAATTGCCTCAGCGTGAAATTGACTTAGAGGGTTTTGACGCGACTGTCAATTTCGCGTCGTGTCGACCCCCCCTAACCCATTTCGACCATCATAAACACCCTAGAGGATTTACCAAGACAATTCTACTTCGTAAACCCTAAACCCTGAAAATAAGAAGGGGACGATTTTGCCTCAAATGTGTGCATCGTCGTCCCCCCCCCCCTTCCCATACCCTATAACATCATTTTTCGGCTGCCCGGGGGGTTTTTTTGCCCTACCCGGGCATGCGTCTTTTCATGCGTCCTAAAGGCCCTCTTCTTGCGTCCTGCGTCTAAGACGCTGCGTCTGGACGCAAGCGTCCTAGACGCAGGACGCGTCTTTCTCCACCCAGGTCTCTCTCTCTCTGTAGATATATGTATACATAATAGTAAAGATTTGTGAAAGCACAAAAAAACAGCATGGTTGCAACATAACAGCAGCAAGTGTCCTGAGTGGGTTACAGAGGTTGAGGCAACCCTTCCATTTGCTGTGAAAGTTTCAATGTACACACCTATGCATCCTGGAAGCATCCTTCCCTTACAGAGCTGTCATTTTTTGTTTCCCATGTTTCACTGTTTGTCCACTTGTCGGGTTTGCCAGCTGGCAGGGGGGGAGGCGGGCGACAACCTGTTGAGGTGGTTTCTGTGGACTCGCGTTGTGAGGACGCGCCACATCATGAACTACTTCCACAGGTGTGTCCTGCGTGCGGCATTGTACATGGTTCCTTCTGCGGGCCCCACCTTCTGCGGGCCCCACCTTCCAACCCCAGGCTGCATTGGGTCGCCTACATTAGTTGTGGGTCATGCAGCGCAGCTGTCGGATCGAGTTTCCACACCGCTCGCGTATCTCCCGCCCATCGTGCATTTCTTAGCCTCCACATTACGACTCTCCACACTACCCGTCCGTCTTCCCCCACAACCCAGGTTGCAGTGCGACATCCATGTGAGCTACTTCTCAGTGCGTGTGGCAAAGCGAAGCCTATCCTTATCGAGCGATTCCAAAAGTACACACTGCCCTATTTCCCGTACCTGCAACTCTCATCCCCTATCTGCAACCTCACTTTCACTCCTCTCCCCCCACCACCCAGGTTGCAGAGGGACGTCCATGTGAGCTACTTCGCAGTGCGAGTGGCGGGGTGAAGCACATCTTTGTTTCGCACACTACGGTGCACGCTGCCTTATCCCCCCTGCGTACTCCCTCCTCTCTCGCCATCACCCAGGTTACAGAGGGACATCCATGTGAGCTACTTCGCAGTGCGAGTGGCGAAGCTCATTTTCATCGAGCTCTACATCACTCACGTAGCTGGCTGCTTTTTCTACTTCCTCGCCACCACCTACCCTCCGGACGAGGTGGGTGGGATTTAGAGTTACCACCTACCCGCCCGACAAGGTGGGTGGGCTTTTGGGTTACCACCTACCGACCCGACTAGGTAACCAGCTCCAAGCCACCAGTGGACCACATGCGAGCCTTCATGTCCCTTTTTGAATGCTGCAAATTGCAACTTGAGTTGTTGTACAATCAAACTCTACCTTTATCTTTCGCGCACTTGCCTACGCCTGCCAATCCTCGCCCCTTGCATTTGGATGGCCTTGCATTTGGATGGCCTTGCAGGAGGGCAGCACATGGATAGGCAGTCTGACGCTGGGTGACCTGACGTACACCAACTTTCGGGAGATGGACCTGTACACGCGCTACTTCACGTCGCTCTACTGGTCTGTCATCACCATGGCCACCATCGGTGAGTGCAGCTTGAGTCATCACCATGGCCACCATCGGTGAGTGCAGCTTGAGTCATCACCATGGCCACCATCGGTGAGTGCAGCTTGAGTCATCACCATGGCCACCATCGGTGAGTGCAGCTTGAGTCATCACCATGGCCACCATCGGTGAGTGCAGCTTGAGTCATCACCATGGCCACCATCGGTGAGTGCAGCTTGAGTCATCACCATGGCCACCATCGGTGAGTGCAGCTTGAGTCATCACCATGGCCACCATCGGTGAGTGCAGCTTGAGTCATCACCATGGCCACCATCGGTGAGTGCAGCTTGAGTCATCACCATGGCCACCATCGGTGAGTGCAGCTTGAGTCATCACCATGGCCACCATCGGTGAGTGCAGCTTGAGTCATCACCATGGCCACCATCGGTGAGTGCAGCTTGAGTCATCACCATGGCCACCATCGGTGAGTGCAGCTTGAGTCATCACCATGGCCACCATCGGTGAGTGCAGCTTGAGTCATCACCATGGCCACCATCGGTGAGTGCAGCTTGAGTCATCACCATGGCCACCATCGGTGAGTGCAGCTTGAGTCATCACCATGGCCACCATCGGTGAGTGCAGCTTGAGTCATCACCATGGCCACCATCGGTGAGTGCAGCTTGAGTCATCACCATGGCCACCATCGGTGAGTGCAGCTTGAGTCATCACCATGGCCACCATCGGTGAGTGCAGCTTGAGTCATCACCATGGCCACCATCGGTGAGTGCAGCTTGAGTCATCACCATGGCCACCATCGATGAGTGCAGCTTGAGTCATCACTATGGCCACCATCGGTGAGTGCAGCTTGAGTCATCACCATGGCCACCATCGGTGAGTGCAGCTTGAGTCATCACCATGGCCACCATCGGTGAGTGCAAAGGAGGTGACTATCGAGTCGAATCAAATGTCACCTGGCCACCATCGGTGAGTGTGCAGCTTGAGTCATCACCATGGCCACCATCGATGAGTGCAGCTTGAGTCATCACCATGGCCACCATCGGTGAGTGCAGCTTGAGTCATCACCATGGCCACCATCGGTGAGTGCAGCTTGAGTCATCACCATGGCCACCATCGGTGAGTGCAAAGGAGGTGACTATCGAGTCGACTCAAATGTCACCTGGCCACCATCGGTGAGTGCAGCTTGAGTCATCACCATGGCCACCATCGATGAGTGCAGCTTGAGTCATCACCATGGCCACCATCGGTGAGTGCAGCTTGAGTCATCACCATGGCCACCATCGGTGAGTGCAGCTTGAGTCATCACCATGGCCACCATCGGTGAGAACAGCTTGAGTCATCACCATGGCCACGATCAGTGAGTGCAGCTTGAGTCATCACCATGGCCACCATCGGTGAGTGCAGCTTGAGTTGAGTACTCATACGCCCGTATGAAGACCTTGAGGGTCGGAAGAGAGCCATTTGCGGTTGATTAGCAAGGAGTACAAGAAGTGGTGCAAGTGCGTGACTGATTACCTGGTGCAGGCTGGTTATGACAACAACAGCGGGCGCATGATCGTAGAGGTGCTGACCATGCTCAACGGCAAGGATTTCTTGCGCATGACAAAGTTCTTTCTCAAGCACATCGACCTGAGTGGAAATTTGCCATGCGAAAAAAATCCTTGACGTTAAGCATGGTCAGCACCTCTGCAATTACGCGCCCGCTGCTGTCGTCATACCCAGCCTGCACCAGGTAATCAGCCACGCACTCGCACCGCTTCTGGTGTTCCTTCTTGCTAATCAACCGCCGATGACCCTCTTTCGACCCGCCAGCCACTCCTTCCCCCTGAACATGCACCTTCACAGATTTCTGTGACGGTGGCAAGACCATAGAGGACAACAGTGTCCCCCCCAGCTGTCCTCGCTCCAGGAGCTTCGGTTGGTCTTCCCACCCGTTTCTTGCTGCATGTCGCCCCATCCGCCTTTCGTCTGTCCAAATCATTGCGATGTGTACGCATTCCTTGAACCACAACAATTGCTCGTCCGACTCATTTGCTCCCTTCTGCTGCCTCTGCCTCATACTTCCCTCTCAGGGTATGGCGACGTGCATCCAGTGAACCCGCGCGAGATGGTGTTCGCCATGGCCTACATCTCCTTCGACCTTGTGCTCTCCGCCTACCTCGTCGGTGAGCCATCCCATTCCATGCTCTTCCATGCTGTGCCATGCCATGCCTTACTCTCTTCACCCCACCTCATCCTCTTGAACCTTGTCGGGGGGGGGACTCCGCCCTCTCCTGGTGCACATCATAGGGTCCGTTGTGCTGCCGCCAATGCCCCTTCAAGGGTCCGTTGTGCTGCCGCCAATGCCCCTTCAAGGACCCAGGGAGGTCTGTATGCTGCTGTCATTGTCCCTTGCCCTGAGCTTACACACCACTGTGCCCTCACCATCGTCTTACACCTCGTTGTGCGCTCATCTCACACCATGACGCGCCCTGGCCAGGCAACACACGGCAATGGTGGTGAAGGGGGTGCTTATGCTGCCACCATTGCCCCGTATAGGGATGAGCATAGGGACCCGGCGGGTCGGTTCGACCCGACCCGACCCGGGTTTTGACCTGGGTCGGGTCAGGAGTTCTGAACCGCTGATCGGCCAGGTCGGGTCGGGTATACCCGGTCCGGGTCGGGTTGACTCGTGACCCGATTCCGGGTCGGGTCGGGTCGGGTCGGGTTTTGACCCGATTATGGACTCGACCCGGTTTCGGGTACCGCGCCCTATCTCGGGTCGGGTATCTGGCCCGACCCGAGGGTTTCCTCTCGACAATGTTATCCAGATCGTAATCGTGCTTGCTTGCCTTAGGTTAACTAGCTAGTGACGCCAGCAGCCACCCACCAAGCAACATTGGCATACTAATCTACCCTATAACCAACGATCATGTTAGTACTCAGCAAATCGTTTTTTTTATAAGTTATTCGCACTTCGCGCCAATCATCCTAGGGTTTCCATTAAATCCGAAATTTACAGGTCGCGCTCCCACCCTAGGCGTGCGCATTGCAGGCCCGCGTTTTAGGGCATCTCGGCGCGCCGTGCAGGCGCAGGTCGCTAGAGCTGCGCCCCTGCTGAAGGCTTTGGGAAACGTCATTCGCCAAGGTCCCTGCGCTGAATCCGCGTTAGTGAGTTTAACGGAGGCGAGAATGGAAGGAGGGGAGGATAGCAGTCGCGCGATCCTAGGGGCGACACTGCATAGTATTAAGGAGAACCTCTAACCCTGCCTATGGGAGTTGCCCCGACCTGACCCGACCCGACCCGACCCGACCCGGGGGCGGGTCAAGCCTGACCTGGCACCCGATGCCCGGGTCGGGCCAGAGATCTCAAAAGTTCCGACCCGACCCGACCCGACCCGGAACCCGGCTGGCCCGCCCAAGTCGGGTCGGGTCGGGCCATTTGATCATACCTAGCCCCGTACCATGCGCCTCACACCTCGTTGCACCATGTTGCACCCCGTTGCAACGCGTGCAGGCAACATCATGGCGATGGTGATGAAGGGTTCTTATGCTGCCCAAGCTGCCCCTTATCTCCTTGCGTATTGCCCGCTGTGTCCTGTGCTCTGTGCCCTATGCCCCTCGCAGGCAACATCACGGCGATGGTGGTGAAGGGGTCCAACACAACGCGGTACCGGGAGAAGATGTCCGCTCTGATCAAGTACATGAACCGCAACCACCTGCCCCACTCGCTCAGGCAGCAGATGAGGCAGGTGAGATGGGTGGGAAGGAGTGGAGGTGAGTGCGCTAGAGTAAACGGGAAGGAGTGAGAAGATGTCAGCTCTGATCAAGTACATGAACCGCAACCACCTGCCACACTCTTTGCGCCAGCAGATGAGGCAGGTGAGAGGGGTGGGGGTGGATGGGAGTGTGTGTGTGTGTGGATGGGAAGGAGTGAGGAGGTGTCGGCAATGATCAAGTACATGAACCGCAACCACCTGCCACACTTCCTCAGGCAGCAGATGAGGCAGGTGCGAGGGAGGGGTGCTGGTGGATGGGAGAGGGCTGTGAGTGGAGGTGAGAGGGCTGTGAGTGGAGGTGAGAGGGCTGTGAGTGGAGGTGAGAGGGCTGTGAGTGGAGGTGAGAGGGCTGTGGGTGGAGGTGAGAGAGTGAGCTTGAAGAAAAATGCCTTCTCCTCTTTCACCCCAGCCGCGCCCGCGTCTCCTTTATTGCAGAGCGGGTTGAGGATGAGAAGATGAGCATGTTTCCTCTCACCATCTCTCTTCTCATATGTCCCATCCACCACTCCATCCATCTGGTTCCTCCCAAGCACCACACCAGCCACCCATGCACCGCACCACCCACCCATGCACCGCACCACCCACCCATGCACCGCACCAGCCACCCATGCACCGCACCAGCCACCCATGCACCGCACCAGCCACCCATGCACCGCACCAGCCACCCATGCACCGCACCACCCACCCATGCACCGCACCAGCCACCCATGCACCGCACCACCCACCCATGCACCGCACCACCCACCAGCATGTGCGGCTGCAGTTTATGACGGAGCAGGTGGAGGAGGTTTGGGTCATTCGTCTTACCATGCTCTTTCACCACCCACTATCACCACCCTCCATCTATCTTGTCCCATCCACCCGTGCCCACACCGGGACGCACGGCTGCAGTTTGAGACGGAGCAGGTGGAGGAGGAGGTGAGGGAGGAGATCGAGGGGCTTCACACTCACCACCCTCAACCTCCCCACCACCCCTCCCATACGTCACGTCACCCCACGCACCCACCTTTGGCCACACCAGCACGTGAGGCTGCAGTTTGAGACGGAGCAGGTGGAGGACGAGGTGATGGAGGAGGCTTGGAGCCTATGTCTCACCACCCTCCATCTATCTGTTCCCACCTTTCATGCGTCACACCAGCACGTGAGGCTGCAGTTTGAGATGGAGCAAGTGGAGGAGAAGGTGATGGAGGAGATGGAGGGGCTTCACACTCACCACCCTCACCCTCCGCACATTCCCCATCCACCACCCCTTTGGTGCATCGCATCACACCGCAGCACGTGAGGCTGCAGTTTGAGACGGAGCAGGTGGAGGACGAGGTGATGGAGGAGTTTCCGCTGAGCATCCGCCACAAGGTGGCGCGTGCCCTCTACCAACGCGCTGTGGAGGCCTGCTACCTCTTCGACGGGTGCTCGGGAGAATGCATTAACCAGATCGTGAGTCGTGCTGTGGGGGATAGAGTTGATTATTTTGGATTCGGAGACAATGTCTACCAGTGCTCGCTTGATTCCTGCTACCTCTTTCACATTTTCGTGTATGCATCAATCAGACGGTGCTGTGCGGTGCATGCAGGTGGTGAGTGCTGTGCCTGCTGGAGGGGCTCATTCAGAAGAACGACACTATGCCCCCTGTCTAATGCTCTTACCATTGTGTATTGTGCTGTGCGGTGCTGTGTGGTGCCGTGCTGTCCCAACAGGTAGCGCGCGCCGTGCCCGAGTACTGCTACCCGCCCGCTGGAGGTGCTCATTCAGAAGAACCGCCTTGTAATCCCTGTCTCGCGCTCTGCCCATTGTGTGCGGTGCTGCGCGGTCCCAACAGGTTGCGCGCGCCGTGCCCGAGTACTACTATCCGTTGGAGGTGCTCATTCAGAAGAACAGCAATGCACCCCCTTTTCCCTGCTCTTTCACCCGTCCCAACAGGTAGCGCGTGCGGTGCCCGAGTACTACTATCCGTTGGAGGTGCTCATTCAGAAGAACGATGCCGCAGAGCACATGTTCATCGTCTGCTCCGGCACCGTCCAGGAAGCTTCCTGTGTGTACGGCGAGGGGACGGACGACGAGCACTGGGCGACCCTCACAGCCGGCAATGTGGGTCGCGAGGACCTGCTGTGTTTGAGAGTGGCGGTTTATAGCTGGGGATGTGCTGAGATGTGCTGGGATGGGATGTGCTGGGATGGGATATGCTGGGACGTGCTGGGATGTTCTGGGATGTACAGGGATGTGTGGTCTGGTGGGGCATGTGAGTGTCCGCCCTGTTCAAGTGGTAGTTCTGCTGCTTTTCCACCATGGGTTGGCGTCTCTCCCCTTCCTCCCCTGTCCTGTGTTGTTTCTCACCGTCATTCCTTCTTCTCCTTGTTTCTCTCTGTGCACTCTCCTCGTGTCTCCATGTGTATCCATTTCTCTTCCCTCCCTCTCCCCCTTCTTCCTCGCTCCTCGTACCCATTACCCAGATGTGTGGGGAGGTGGCGCTGCTGTGCAACATACTGCAGCCCTTCACAGTCACCGCCAAGGAGCTCACCCAGGTGAGGAGCTCACCCAGGTGAGGAGCTGTGCCAGGTGAGGAGCTGTGCCAGGTGAGGAGCTGTGCCAGGTGAGGAGCTGTGCCAGGTGAGGAGCTGTGCCAGGTGAGGAGCTGTGCCAGGTGAGGAGCCAGGTGAACCACCCTCCTTGACTGCAACAGATGGAATGTGACAGTAACCGGTGGAATTTGGCTGTCATTTGCTGAAATGTGACAGATAGGAACTGAACTGCGATAGAAGTAGGTCGTGCTGTGCCTGCTGTGAGCTGAGCTGAGGTTGAACAGTGACTGCAACTGGAAAATTGCTAGCAATTATAATAATTATTAACAAAAACAAAAAACAGCACAAACAACAACACCAAAAAAACCATGTGTGCTCACTCCATGCATGTTTGCTTCCCCTGAATGTATGTATTCATGCATGTGTGCATCCTTGGGTGGGTGCATGCATGGGTGCTTACAGGTGCTGCGCATCGACCGCCAGTCCCTCTCTTTAGTCACATCTCTCTTCATCGTGGATGGCCGCCGCATGGTGGACAATCTGCTGCAGGTGGGGGTAGATCCGTGCAAACCCTTAAACAGGTGGGGGTAGATCCGTGCAAACTCTTAAACAGGTGGGGGTAGATCCGTGCAAACCCTTAAACAGGTGGGGGTAGATCCGTACAAACCCTTAAACAGGTGGGGGTAGATCCATGCAAACTCTTAAACAGGTGGGGGTAGATCCGTGCAAGCAAACCCTTAAACAGGTGGGGGTAGATCCGTGCAAACCCTTAAACAGGTGGGGGTAGATCCGTGCAAACCCTTAAACAGGTGGGGGTAGATCTGTGCACACCTTTAAACAGGTGGGGGTAGATCCGTGCACGCCCTTATTAGTTAAGGCTAGATTAATGCACACCCATATTGATAGAAAAGGAGCTGAACTGATTGATTAGTAGAGAAGGCACTAGGCCTTAAGTACAAAAAAAGTTGGGTTGAGCTAAGCTAAGGAAAGGATGGGATGGGTATCTTAGCAAATCTCCAATTGGTGAGTTGGCAGATGTGCAGGATTATGAGGGAATCCCAACCAGATAAGGTTGGGATCACAAACTACACCCAACCCGCAAATAACCTACGCGATATAGAATATAGTACACAAAGTGTTGACAGCCTATTTCTAACACACCCCCTAGGCTGCAACACATGAGTCACTAGGAAGCCAAACACCCATGGCCGGAGGAGGCGGTAATGGTCCTGGCGAACAAACGACTTGGTAAACAAGTCAGCAAGGTTGCAGTCGGGGGCAATGCGTTCAGTCTTCAGCTGCTCGCGCTGCACCAGCTCACGAAAAAAGTAGTGACGGACTTCAATGTGCCAGGTGCGGCCGTGGAAAACGGGGTCCTTGGTGAGACGAATAGTGCTCTCGTTGTCACACCAAAGCGTTAGGGTTGGTTGAAGATACCCCAATTCTGTCAGTAGGAAGGAGAGCCAACGAGCCTTCTGGGCAACCATGGTCCCGGCATACAGCTCTGCCTTACAAGTTGACAGTGAGACTGAGGACGACTGAGTGGAGCGCCAACTTACAACCCCACTGCCAAGGGTAAACCAATACCCTTAGGAAGAGCGCCGATCACTCTGGTCATCAGCATAGGATGAGTCACTGTACCCCTCAAGGCGAACAGGGGAAGAGCCGCCAAGTGCGAGCTCATAATCCTGTGTGCCTTTGAGATAGCGAAAGACCCGCTTGGTGGCAGACCAGTGGTGGCGAGTGAAGCGACCAGGTGCAACGTAGCGAGACAGTACACTGACTAGATAGGCCAAGTCTTGTCGAGTTGTCACCGAATTTATTGGTGTTAGCAATACATTCAGTGACTCGCTTGTGAGGTGTAGGTGAATCATTATATTTACTGTAGAAGTTGGGTTGGGGTTGGGTTCTTAGGGAGTGACGCGAGGGTGTTGGTAGCGAGGAGCAACGAGGAAGATCTCAAGGGACATTGGGCCTTGGCAATTTGAGGAACCAATCCGGGAAGCCGAGTAAGTAGAGCTCGATGTGGCTCTTGGAAACTTGGCGACACGGGTAGGTAATTCAAGTAGCCTAGGAACATGCAACACAAACTCGTTCTCTCGATTGTTTGCCTCATATAGTGGATAACGCAATCGCAACAAGGCTACTCTAGCTAGGTGACTACGCCACTGTGGGCAACCATCCTGTGGGAAGTTTCTGATAGAGTACACATCATTGCGTACATGAGGGATCCAACGAGCTCGAGGTAAGGCTCATCACAGGGCTCAGGTGAGGGAGCAGATGGTGCAGTGGGTTGGTGCTGCAGAGAGAGTGGGGTAGGCATTGATGCTGCTTCCTGCATCTTGAACCTCGTCAGAACGTTGTTGATGTAAAACTTCTGCGAGAGGGTGATGGTGCGGGCCGTGCGATCACGTGTGGTTTCCATGCCCAGATTGTTCGTCAGCTTCCCAAGATCCTTCATGGCCAACTTCTCACCAAGTGCGGTTTTGAGTGCTGCCAGCTCAGTCTGATCCTTGGTGACAAGAATCATGTCACCGACATAAACTAGGATGAAGAAGCGGGATGGTGTTGCTCGGATGAAGAGGCTGCGGTTAGAGGTGGATGGGTGAAAGTTGAGGGACCCTAAGGTGCTCTTGAGCTTGTTGTGCCATTCCCGGAGTGCTTGCTTGAGGCCATACACTGGCCGATTCAGCTTCCATACGGTGCCTGTTGGAAATGGAGCTGGAAATCCTTCGGGCCGCTCCATATAGATTTCTTCTCGAAGGATCCCTTGCAGAAACGCAAAAGACACATCCATGCAGTAAACCTCCGTGTCATCTCGAGCAGCAACAGTCGAGAAGGGTGCGTAGTGTGGGAGGCTTGGCGGTGAGAGAGAATGTCTTAAAAAAGTCCAGTCCATGCTTTTGGGTAAATCCCTCGGCACAGTACCAGGCTTTAAAGACAAGAAATTTGCCTGGAAGTTGTTTCACCTGAAAAACCTATATTCCCTTCACAATGTTGACGTCGGAGGGAGGAGAGACATCTGTGAATGTTCCTGTGTGAATGAAGGCCTCACATTCTGCGACAATGGCTCCCAACCACTTGGCGGCGTGAGGACCAGAGACTACTTCAGCATAGGTGGGAGGCGTGGGGATGGAGGGGTTGTCTGAGAAATTGAGGGTGGGAGAGTCTGCGAGATGTGGAAAGAGGAAGCAGAGCGCGTGGATGGCTGGGTCGATATCAATCAACTCCTCATGTCTGCTTTAAGGAGGGAGGGCACGAGAGAATAATCACCCTCGACAGGAGGAGGATTGAAAAAGATGCGAACGGAAAGGGAGAGTGGCTTCGAGGCTGTATGAGAGTGTGTGCGAGAATCGATGGGGGAGGGAGGCGGAGATGGAGGAGTAGTATCGATATCTGAGGTGGTTGTGGGAGCAAGAGCAGGATCATGAGCAGGAGCTGGAGCAGGATCATGAGCAGGAGCTGGAGCGGGATCATGAGCAGGAGCTGGAGCAGGATCAGGAGCTAGAGTAGGAACAGGAGCAGGAGCCGGAGGACGGCGGTGGTAGGTTTTGAGAGGAGGAGGCTCGGAAGGAGGAGCGGGAGCAGGAGCAGGATCCAGAGCAGGAGGAGAGGAAAGAGGGGGAGCCGGTGGGGGAGGGGAGGGGGAGGGAAGGAGCGGATGAGACTGCGTGGTGCTGGAGGGGGAAGTGGGTGGTGGCGGGTCAGAGACGGTGGAGGGAGCAGGAAGAGGAGGAGTGGCGGGAGGAGGAAGACTGTCAAAGTCAGCCCAAGTAAGAGAAGGAGGTGGAGGAGAGGGGGAAGCCTTGGAGGAGGGATAGAATGGGCGAGAGAGACTCATAAAACAACACGTCTCGGCTGCGGTAAAGTTTTGTAGAAAATCAGACCTATGTGCACAGTGTGCACAAGGAGAAGCTGGTTCTGAGATGTTGAAAAAGGTCTACAAACAGAAAGTTAACTGAAGTAATGAATACAAGCAAAACAAAAGCTAAAATAGGCAGAAAGTGAAGAGAGCTAGCTTGGAGGCGACTTGGGCTCGTCCAGGTGAGGAATTTGGTACCCAAGGGACTTGGGGTGGCCAAATGGGTGCTCAAGTCGCCCACAGTCAAGATGGGGACGTGAGGGACCCTCAAAGTGGGCCTGGAAGCGCCCCCTCTAGTGGAACCGCGATTCCACGAATTGGAAACGCGAATTCCAAGCTGGAGCCGCGTTTCCAATGTTGAAATTCGTGGGTCCAGGCTGGAGCCGCGTCCCCAAGGATGGGAAACGTGCTGGGGTGCCCCAAAGCCGAATTTGGGGTGCCTAGCACTTGATAAAGTCACTCAGGGGGCACCCTATAACTAATATAACCCAACCCCTATTGTCTACACTATTATAATGTAAGCAAATACATACAAACCATAAAACAAACTAGTGAACTAACCTTCAGCATAATTAAAGGAAAATAAGTACCTAACAACAAGTTTGTTGGTGGAAGGATGGAGGAAGAGATAGTCTGGCGAATCTGAGTTGTGCCCGAGGTATACGCACGTCATTGTTTGGGAGCAAGTTTGCCGCCAGCTGCTTGACGGGCTCGGGAGTTGAGGAGGACATAGGAAGTGCACCCCCATGCACGCAGAGGAAGGACAGATGGCTTTTGACCCGTCCACATCTCAGCGGGAGTGGTGTGGGTGTGATGAGGATGAGGATGGAGATTGTGGAGGGCGGCAGCGTGGAGCATGTCGTACCCCCCAAAGAGAGGGAGGGGCGCAAGCGTGAGTGAGGAGGCAGCGACCAATCTGCACTAAGATGCGGTTCCGACTCTTAGCAACACCGTTCTGTTGGGGACTGTCTGGAAGAGTGAAGGTATGACGGATATGCGGAGATAACTGCAGCAACGGGAGCTAGGCTACGGGCTAGGCACGTGTGCTCGTGTGATATCTGCGTTCGTTCACTTAGTCGTTTCCTTGTGTTCACGCTGCTTGCTAGTTCACGGGGAGAATCGGCAAGGGCTTCGTGGGTTGCCGCACCGAGCGCGTAGTATTCAGCTTCACAAGAGGATGTCGCAATTACACATTGCCGCTTGGATTGCCAAGAAATCAGAGAAGGTCCCAGAAAAAACAGGTATGCAGTGAGGGAACGACGAACCTCACTTTCGGAAGCCCATGAGGCATCACAATACCCGACCAGCTGGAGGGAGGCGGGATTGCCACCAAGAAGCAGCCCATGGGAAGAAGTCCCGTTGAGGTAACGGAGAACACGTCTAGCAGCCAGCCAATGAGGATCCGACCAAGAATGGAGGTGACGTGAAAGGAGTCCAATAGAATGGGCTATGTCAGGGCGAGTGGCAACCATTGCGTACATGAGAGAGCCGACCAAAGAGGGATATGGGAAGGGTTCAGAGGGTGGCAATAAGGAGCGTGTTGGAAGGAGGAGCTTAGAGTCCATGGGGGTGTGGCTGGGGTTGGCGTGGCTGAGATTGAAGGTAGAGAGGAGTGCAGTAATAAATTTGGACTGGTGGATGAGGAGGGTCCGAGAAGAGCGGTCGCGGTCTAAGTGGAGGCCAAGGTAATAAGTTAATGGGCCAAGGTCACGAAGTTTGAAGCGAGTGG